AAAAAAAAAAAAAAAAAAAAAGAAGGCAGCTCCTAAAGATACTTAATGGAACAATATCTATGTAAGTGTACAAAGCAAGGTGTAGGCCAGTGCAATGGCTGATGCCTGTAATCCTAACACTCTGGGAGGCCAAGGCAGGTAGACTACTTGAGCTCAGGAGTTTGAGACCAGCCTGAGCAAGATGAGACCCTATCTCTACTAAAAATAGAAAAACTAACTGGTCGTTGTGGTGGGCACTTGTAGTCCCAACTACTGGGGAGGCTGAGGCAAGAGAATTGCTTAAACACAGGAGTCTGAGGTTGCTGTGAGCTATGGTGCCACAGCACTCGACCCAGGCCAACAGAGAGAGACTCTGTCTCAAAAAAAAAAAAAGGCAAGGTGCTAAAGGAGTGGTGTTTCTGTTTACACAGGCAAGCTTTGCAAAAATATACAAAAAACTGGTCACAGGGTTTGCCTCTTGGAAGGAAAATAAGGGGACCGGAAGGAATTAAAAAAGATTTATTCATTGTACATTTTTTGATACTTTTGTATTTTAATATCATATGCCTATTCAAAAAAATTTTAGAAATTTAAAAATAAAAACTCAGCTCTTTTTCAGAAGTGCTCCACACTTCATGTCATGGGTACTGTTCCCTAACTTCCCCCCATTTCAGAGCGTACCTTTCCTTCTCCTCCTTGTCTGCCCTCCACAGGAAGAGATATGATGAAAAGTGAGAAAATGAAGTCCTCTGATCATCACCTTGTACTGCCTGCTATCATCTAATACCCATATCTTTTACTGAACCTGACTCCTATGGGATAGCTACATTTCCTTAAGTCAGGAAAGATGAAGGAAATTTTTTTTTTTTGCAGTTTTTGGCTGGGGCTGGGTTTGAACCTACAACCTCTGGCATATGGGACCAGTGCCCTACCCTTTTGAGCAACAGGCGCTGCCCCAAAGAAAATTTTTTAAAAGACAAAAAATGGGGGAAAGCTCAGAGTTTGGCCAAATACACTTTTTTCAAGCTTCTACTTGAACTGCGCATTTCCTCTCAGCTTTAAGGACGTGCCCTTTGGGAATAAGGGTGTTTTGTTTCCAGCCCACGCAGACCCAAACTTTTTCTCTCGTCACGTGCCCAGCCCAAACCAGTCAGCAGCAATTTAATGAGATCACCATGGCCAGCCTCCAGACCAAGTAACAACAGGGCTGGCCAGTTCCCCAAGCGGCAGCCACCAAAGCAGGGAGTGCTGAAAGAGAAGAGGAGGCAGGCTTGATTGACCTGTCACTAGGACCTCAGAGGACGTTGGAAACAGCCCACTGCAGAGGTGAGTGGGAGCTTCTGGGAAGGGTGGTGTTTGTGAAAGTCAGGACATGTCCTAGTTCACTTAAAGAAGGGCTATATACTCGGCCCTACCCCCACTACACTGTCCTTTCCAGTACAGATGAGAGTTGCCTCTGACGGTGCACTGAAGTCCCCTAAAGGTCTTTTGCTAACGTCTGCATCCTCTGTCTATACCATCTAGCTCCTCTGTAGTCGTGTTCTAACTACTGTTAGGTAATTATAAGGAACTGGGTTTGGCTTCAAAACTCTGGGAAGGAGCAACTCCTAAGTCAGAACTCAAACAAGAGGCAGATCAAACTGGAAGAGACTGGAAGCAACTGGGACCTAATTGCTTCTTATTTCTAATCTGCAATCACCTGGAGGAGATAGGCAACAGTTTTAATATCTCTGGATAGATAGATATGTGGTCTACAAGCAGGGAAACTTGGTCAAAACTATTTTTTTTTAATTATTTATTTTAGAGACAGAGTCTCACTTTATTGCCCTCGGTAGAGTGCTATGGCGTCACAGCTCACAGCAACCTCCAACCCCTAGGCTTAGGTGATTCTCTTGCCTCAGCCTCCCAAGTAGCTAGGACTACAGGTGCCACCACAATGCCTGGCTGTCTTTTTGTTGCAGTCTGGCCGGAGCCAGGTTCAAACCTGCTACCCTTGGTATATGGGACTGACGCCCTACCCACTGAGCCACAGGCGCTGCCTGTCCAAGCTATTTTTTTTTTTTGGAGACAGGAGCCTTAAGCTGTCCCCCTAGGTAGAGTACTATAGAATCACAGCTCACAGCAACCTCCAACTCCTGGGCTCAAGCGAGTCTCCTGCCTCAGC